TCCATAGTTTATGTAAACTGCGTGATAGATACACACACTATTCAGCTTCAGGAAGCTCTGTGTTTTTATATAGATGAACCTGGGGCAAGTAATTGAAGAGAAATAAGTTGCACACAGAAAGACAAATGCTGCATGTTTGCACTTACATGTGAAATCTTAAAAAGTCAGATTTATAGGAACAGAAGGGTACAATGATGGCCGCCAGGGTCTAGAGAGAAGCAGCTGGGAAGTTTTGGGGAAATTTAGTCAAAAATTATAAACTTTCAGTTAGAAAGGATAAATTCAAAACTTCTGTTGTACCAGGGTAACCCACTGTTCTTAATACATACAAAGTGAGTTAACACATATGTCAGTCAGCTCCATTTAGCCAGCCCATTATACACATATTTCAAACTAACATGCCATACGTCATGAGTGTATACAATTTTTGTCAATTTAAATATTTGTACATTTTCTTCAGGTGAGCAAGATGGTTCATGTCATAAAAGTGCTTCTCCCAATTCCCAACAGCCTAGGTTCAATCTCTGGGCCCCACATGGAGGAAAGAAGGGACTCCCTCATGTTATCCTCTGACCTCCAAGGGCCTGCACACATGCACACTACATAAATACATGTCCTTTATTTTTTTCGTTTTTCGAGACAAGGTTTCTCTGTATTGTTTTGGAGGCTGTCCTGGAACTCACTCCGTAGACCAGGCTGGCCTCGAACTCACAGAGATCCTCCTGCCTCTACCTCCTGAGTGCTGAGATTAAAGGCATGTGCCACCAACGCCTGGCCCAGAGAAAAAAATTTTACATGGAAAAAAAATCCTTGAGAGAATGAGAAAGAGAGAGAATCAATGTCCTACAATGGCAGCATAAATTCATTTCCTACTACGAATCTCATCTAAGAAGTTGACAAATGCAGCATTAAAGGATGGGTAGGATGTGAAGCAGATTAGAAGAGGGGTAAACAAGTCAAGTGGAAGAAAATCTGGGCCCATTAAGAACTAAGGAACTCTTTTAGCACCTCCTGCTGTCAGCTGCGGTCTGTCTACCCACACCCCACCACTGTTAGCAACTCCGTCGTGCAGAAATCAGTATTTCCAATGTCTATGTCTTTAAATGGTTTTCTGATGTCTAAAGAGATTGTCTGCTTTTAAAACGGGTCATATAGAGGACTGATATACAAGGCAAGTAGAGGGTTTAACATATGCTAGTTGATCAATGCCCCAGTTTTTAGAGTGCCAAGGATGCAAGGATATCAAGGACTGCTGATGTTTACTTTCGTTGTGTAACAAACCAAATGTTAAACACGACCCTTGCAACTGTTCCCTCTTCTTTCCAAGTCAAGGTACTTTGATGCTAGAATAAATATCAATATAGTTCCACTTTGAGGAAACAGGTTTTATGGAATGATTTCACACTGTCCAGTAGGTTTTTTTTCCCACAAGCAACTTAAAATTCTCTTTGAAAGAAATACTTAAAAATCGAGTAAATTCCAATAGTGGCGCGATCTGAGACGATCACTTTAAATTATGACAGTCTATGGTTCTCCTACATTCTCTGTTCATCACTTCTGCCTTTTTAACCTAAAAGTGCAGGAAAGAGTCAAAATGTCATAATTGGGAACTGAAAGCAACAACCCAGCCACCAACATAAATCATTTTGGCTTAGAAATAAAATTCATTTTTGAAGAAAAAATTCTGGAGGTTTTCCAGGACGTAAAGCAATTTCTTACTTATAATTTATTCATCAGAAATAACTTTTTTAAAAAGATTTAATCCAGGTGGTGGTGGCACAACCTTTAATCCTACTGCTCAGGAGGCAGGGGGAGGTGGATCTCCAAGTTCAAGGTCAGCTTGGTCTACAGATACAGTTCAAGGCCAGCCAGGACTACACAGAGAAACCCTGTTTCAAAATAAAAGAAAAGATTTACTTTATTTTGTGTGTATCAGTGCTTTGCCTGCATGCCTGTAAGTGGCATGTGTGCCTGACGATGGCAGGAGGCCAGAAGCAAGCATCAGATCCCCAGCAGATCCCCAAGAACTAGAATCATACATGGCTGTGAGTCAAGATGTGGGAACCGAACCCAAGTCCTCGACTAGAGCAACAAGTGCTCTTAAAATGTTACAGGAGGAATTGGGGGAGGAGCGAATGTGCTCAAAATACATTGTATGGCATTTCCAAAGAATTAATGAAAACATTGATATAAAAAGTAAAAACACTAAAAAAAATTTTAAAGGCCCATTTTCATAAGTTGACCCAATAAGTCTTTAAATGCAGAGGACCTTGAAGAGTCTCAAGGCCTTTCGTCAACTAGCTAAGCAATAATAAGAAAGGACTAAAATGCAAGTCCCTGTCCACTTCCACCATGAGATCTAGGGTCATTGACTAGATATAAGAGCCTCCTGAACCAATAATTTTTAACTTCTCCTCACCAGCAGCCAATCATACCAAGAAAGAACAAAAAGATAAAATATAAAGTATTTTATACATAGGATCTAAATAAGTCTTTGTTGTTTTTACACTTTACATTTTAAAAAAATGAGGGTGGAAAGATAGCTCAGAGGGCTGGAGAGATGGCTCTGAGGTTAAGAGCACTGACTGCTCTTCCAGAGGTTCTGAGTTCAATTCCCAGCAACCACCTGGTGGCTCACAAACATCCGTAATGAGATCTGGTGCCCTCTTCTGATATGTAGATGTACATATCAGGCAGGATATTGTATTAATAATTATTTATTTATTTATTTTTAAAAAATGAGTAGTTATCATCTTACTGAAAATGCAAGGTCCATGAGAACAGGGCCCACATCCAGACTGCTCACTGTGTTATTCACAGCGTTGTGTTGTTACACAGTTCTGGTGCTCTGTTTTGTTCCCACCACCCAAGCACTCTCCCATTTGGAGGGGATATCCTGATGTGTACACTGCAAGGGGGGCACAATGCTCCTCTTTTCCTAAAGTTCTAGTAGGACTCTGGTGTATGCAGCAGGACACACACACACACATACACCACACACACACACACACACACACACACACACACACACACTGCTAGCTCTTGTAAAGATGACAAAAAACTCAAGGGGTAAGATGGGAGCCATTCTTAGCTGTAGCAACAGAGGTGCAATCATGAGCAAAGGCTTGCCAAGAAGCCTATGGCTCTTTCCTATGCTTTGTTCTCCGTGGCTCCTGCTCAGCTTTCCTGTAGCTCTGCCAGCTGCTGATTTCATCCATTAACCCATGTTCTTTCCCTCTTCAGTTAGCGTAAAGCAGCTTCTGTTACTTACAAGCAAAACCAGTAGTAGGCTGATAGTAGATACTCAGATATTTCTTAGGCGACATCTAGGCTAAAAGGGTCAATTGTCTATTATAATTTTATATCTAACACTACCATTTCCACTCTCCCACAGCCTACATTTTGCACCTACTCCGTTTACATCCCAGATAAGTTGTCATGCTTAATAAAATCAAGTTCTTCTTGATACAAGAGTCAAGTTAGAAACAAAAATTTTTAAAAATCGAAACTAGAAAAAAATCTTTTAAATCTAAACTAGGTTTGCTGTTATTTCCCCCCAAGAATGCTGTGAAATGTCATGCACTGTGGATAGTGTCGCTTAAGTAATAAGGAAACTGACACAATGACAGAAACTTGGGATACTGTCTGGGGAATTAAAACCAGAATGAGTGGGCGTGAGAGAGAGTTAAATGTTTTCCGAGGTAGCATCTGAAAGTGTGCTAAGTGTGTGGATGGGGGAGGAGGCTGGAGACGGAGGAGGGGAGGGGGAAAGGAAGACAAGAGACTCTAGAAATGAAGACTTACACTTTAAATATGGGCTGACATTCACCATGCCCACCGAGGTCAAAGTGGTTCAGTAGCTTAGGGAACAGCCTCTTAAAAGACAAAAAGTATTAACACAGAGACACATAGACAGACACACAGAGAGAGAGAGAGAGAGAGACACACACACACAGACACACAGACAGAGACGCACACAGAGACGCACACAGACAGAGACAGACACACACACACACAGACAGAGACACAGACACACAGAGACAGAGACAGACAGACACAGACACACAGAGAGACACACACAGAACAGACAGACAGACACACAGACACACAGACAGACAGACAGACACACACACACACACACACACACACCTGTTTTCACTTCTGGGTCTATGGAACCAGGATAAAGAAGTTGGTCTGTAAATCTTTAAAAATGTCTTCACCCATAACTATCTCCTCACCACCTAAAAGAATCCACGTTTATAATGTTCAGAATGTGTCCTGCTTGCTTTGTATAAGCATGAACCCCCAAACTAGGTTACCCCAAATTAAAATTCCATTAAATCAACTCAAGTAAGGAATAAAGGAAAGGACATTTTCTGAAAAGCGTGCTTCATCCGCAGGGATTCAGTGCTAGCCACCCTACTCCCCACCCTACCCCTGCCATGTCTGGTCTCCAAGGAGCTGGTACCCAACCCTATCCAAAAAAGAGCCTGAAGAACACATCCCACGAAAGAAGATCGCTAATACTAAGAGACGCTTTTCAAAGGGGAAGGGTGTGAAATACTAAAGAGGTGCTTAATTAGCTTGGATATCCTGCATACCCAGTGTGTTTTCTTCATAACGTGATTTCTATTTTAAAAAATGAAGTATAAAATTCAAATTATAAAAACCCATATGCATGGCTTTCAGTGAAGCAACGAAGACACATAAAACCTATATGTGGGCTTCCGGTGTTTTTCTGCTGTAGATATGGAAGACAAAGGCCTTGGGTCAATGGATTCATCAAACACGTCCTCTGTTGTTGCATCAATTATGCAGTTCTAACTATACCGGCCCCTTAGCACGTACTCTCCTCTCGAGCTCCCTTGCTCCGAGGACTCTGGCGTTTCTCCCCAGGACATTCATCCCTCTCTCAGCGTTGGGACAGAAGGACCGGGCCACCCACTGCCCTGGTGGCTGCCAAGACACAGGGACTTGTTGCTGGTAGCAGATTTTCTTACCCTGCCGACTCAGAGCCAGAGCCGGGAGTCCTCCAAGCTCCCTGGGGCTCCTCGGATGGAGCACGGGTGGGGACGTCTGCCCAGGCGCCCAAGAGTGCCGGAAGCCCGCCCGAAGGGAGGGAAGCTCTAGACTGGTTGCGGAGCTCCGAGCCTAGCCCTTCTGCCTGCCGAGGTCGCCGGGTCGAGGGCACCCGAGGGTCCAGCCTTGCTCCTGCCTTCCCCGCAGCCTCCCCACCCCCATTCGGGCCTGTAATCAATAGTGGGCGCTGATTTTTCACAATTGCAGCTGTCTGATTCATCAGTGAATAATTAAATCAGAGGCAGCCAGGCAGGCCTGGCGTCGGAGTATAGGGGCCCCTCCTCGATGCCTTCAAACTGGGGGGGGGGGTCAATGGGAAGCTGAGAGGACGCCTGGAGGACAGGCCTCTGCTTGAGCTTAGGCTGGGAAAGCTACCCGGCGGGGGGCGCCTTTCTGGGCGTGGCTGGGGAGCCAGAGGCAGGTGTGTGGAGCAGACCTGACTACTCGGGAAGGTGAGGGAAAGCGGGGCGCTCCCCAGAGACACAGCTCGGGTTCGACCGCCCCTTCCTTTTGGCCACAGGCACCACCCTCAGGTCCCTCGCTCTCAGCTGCGAGGGACGCACTTTCCGAGGGGACAGGAAACCCACCCTCGGAAAGCGAGGTGTCTTTGAGAAAGATAGAAGCGCCTAGAAACGGCATTGATTTAGACATCAATCCTGACCTACTCCCTCCTCCTCCCCACTGGCTGGGCCGCACCGCCCCCTCCTCGCCAAGAGGACCTTCGCCAGCCCCAGGGCAACCAGAGCCCCTCACTCGAGTCCCCGCAGCCTGCATACCTGTCCCCAGGGTCTCCCACCTACCTCCGCAGCCTCGACAGCTGCACCCACCATCCGCACATCCACCCCGCCTCCATGACCTGCACACCAGCCTCCACAACCTTGATACCCACCTCTATGACCTCCAAGCCACTCAAAGCAGCCTACAAGACCCTCAGTCAGCACCCAGGGCCTGCAGGTCAACCTCAGGGTGTGGGGCCTCTAATACCAATCCCCAGAGCCTCGACGCCCTCCTCTATGGTCCCCACACTCAGCCCCGCGGGCTGGACTCTCTTGCCACGTTCTCTATCACCGTCTCCAGCCCACTCCACGCGGTAGGCCTCCATGCTCGCTCAGACCGCTGAAACAGCCGGCCCCACATCGGGGCATTCGCTGCCCTGCAAAAGCTACTTCCTTGGGGCCAACAGGTCTTTCGGGCCATCCAGGTCCCAGAGCGGCCGCTTTGCTCTCTCAGCCCGGGGTCAGGAGCTCAGTTTCCTTCTCTGCAACCCTACCGATTGAGTCCTGCTTCTAGAATGGCTACAGCCCCTTGGCCACCTGCAACTCCTGCGGCCGCCAGTCTTAATTTTTTACACGCGTTGGCAAGCAAAACGATTCAGAATTCGTAAGGCGACATCGAGCCTATTTTGTGGTCATGAAATTCTCCTAAAACAACCTTAAAGTACTCTGTGACTTTTAATAGTGTTATCCCAAAAGATCAACTTAAAATGAGTTGATTTTTTATTTGTTTGAGAGCAGACAGTAGAAAAGCCTTAAAAATGTGCGAGTTTAATAAACGGACCTAATGCACATAAATATTTTTAAACCCTTGTTATATTAGTTTCCGACTTAAAAAATCTATTTTAAATCGGAAATTCTATTTCTCAAGTCTCCGTTCTGGCCAGTGTCTATGCTAAAAATCTCCTCCTATGGAGAGGAGATTTCACACAAATGAAAGGTATTTTAAAATCTCATTTTCATTGAGAAAGTATTAGGTATTCGTAGTAATGAATAAATAATGCTAAGTCCTCAAAAATTGTGATTTCTAAAACAAATAAATGGTTGTTTTTAGAGGACAATAAATAAAAAAGTAATGCCATACTTAGTGTCTCCGGGCAGCTTAAAAACAGCCCCACTTTCAAGAAGCTAAATTTGTCCTTCTTACAACCAACTGCAACTTTTGCCTTTCTTTAGAAAAGACAACAAAAAGATTTCACGCGCAACTAGACCGGGACAAAGGGACCTCACGCCCGGTCTCCTTTTGTAAGGTGACAACTGACAAAAAAGGGAAAACTTCATCTTCAGCCCACTTGAGTAGTACATCTGGAGACCCTCGTTACAGAGAAAGCGCAACGGAAGTCACCCACAGACTCCACACCCAGGCTGCCCGGCTTTGAGGCCAAGGTGACAAGCAATCTGTAGAACTGAAAGTCGGAGAGGGAGGAATTCCTCCTTCTCAGGCTTCAAGACATTTATAAGTGCCTTGTATTTTTAGAGAAAACTAACCTTCTCCCGTCTCGGGAAATGGCCATAAGCTCCTCCCTCCCCGATAGAAGTCCTGAGTATTTGAATATTCTCAAGTTAGAGCCCTCAACTTCCCCATACACATTATTATTATTATTATTATTATTATTATTATTTATGTTTTCTACAAAGAGGGAAGCGTTTCACCAAACAGTTTCAGCAGTGTTGGCAGACCAGGAGAGGGGTGTAGGCACAGGTTCTGGACAAGAAAGTGTCCTGGCAGAGCCTACAGCTCAGATCTGTCCAGTTCAGATCTGGACTTCACTACCCACTGCCACTAGAACTCCTCCAGTCTGGAAGAAAGGGCACTGGGGACAGAGAGAGAGACAGAAATAGACACAGAGAGAAGCTGAGCACCAAACTTTAGCAGTCTCCAAATCTAAGAGGACAGAGAAGGACAGGATCTGTTGGTGTTTCAGCGCAGCTGAAGTCTGATTCTGTTTTTGGCTGTCTCTGCAGGATTGTCAGTCCCTGTAAGCAGGTGCCTATGCTCTTTGGGTTGGTAGTTGCCCCTTCTCACCTACTCTCAAACATACTCCCTCCAAATACCACACACACACACACACACACACACACACACACACACACACTCCAACTGCAACTCTAGTCTGAAGAGTTGAACTTGTCACTCCAAGAAAAAGCTTCTCCTGGAGCTTCTGGAGTTTCAGTTTCTCCCCTAGGAGGCCAGATAAGCTGGAAGAAAAGACTGTACCCCTAAGCAAAGTAGCTTTTGCCAATCTTGTGCAGTTAGGGGCAGACATTTGAAGGGTCTGCTCACCTAGAAATACTTTAATACAATCCATAAGAGGAGGTAGGAGTTTTTTTCCAAAGGACTAATTTGGTTTCAGCCATTAGAAAACTTTTTAAAATTACTGTTATTGTTATCATTACTATTATTATTATTATTATTATTATTATCATTATTTCCTAAATGCAGCAGGACATTTGAAAGACATCAGTGGATTTACAGGGTGAAAAGCTGAAAGGACCTGGGCTGGGCTTCAGCTTTACTTTTAGTTTTCTTCTTCCTGTGTTGAAGCAGCCCAAGCTCTCAGACAGAAGAAAATTGAAGCTAATGGAGATATCAAACCGAGCCACAATTCTGAAGGCTCCCTCTCTGACACAAACACCCACCGTGCATCTGCACGTGTAATCACAGAGACTTGCCGGGTCTTCATTACTAGAGGCTTTGAGACAAGGAATAAAATCCTCCAGCGTTAAAAGGAAGTGTCTATTATCACTATTATATAAAATCCTCCAGCGTTAAAAGGAAGTGTCTATTATCACTATTATTATTTGTGTACAGCAACATAAGAATTTCTTTCTCTTCTTGAAATTCCCCCACAATATTAGAACACCATTTGTTGCCCGATTCATATAAATGCTTGAGGCCTTACTGGAAAACCATTACCATTCAATGGCTAGAAAATTGCCCTCCTTCCTTTAAAAAAAATGAAAGAAAGAAAAAGAAAAAGGCTGTCGCAGCAGAAGCAGCAGCAGCAGCTTCTCTCTCTCTCTCTCTCTCTCTCTCTCTCACACACACACACACACACACACACACACACACACACACACACAGAGGCAACAAAAACTTTCTCCGACATAATCCTCCCTCATACAATGACAAAGAAATGATATTGACTTACCCAGGAATGGGTGATGTGTTTGATGGGGGGGGTGCTTTTTGTGTGTGAAGATTTCTGTCCCGGAGCTACACAGACAGCTGCAATTCATGGGCGATGCTGATTGCTAGAAAGGCTATGGATTGGCATGGGGTCTGCAGCTCACACACCCTGATCAATACCCCTACACTCACACGCCAGATGGTTTGGGGAAGGGCAAAATAAAATAGTCCAAAACAGCCCACCATTATTGCCCCCCCTTGGTACTGCTCTGATAAACCTAGCTGTAGCACAAATGTGTTGGGGTCAACATAAAACCTGGGTATATACTGAGTGTTTAGGTGGTTTTCTAGCCTTGTGCCTTTCTAGACTAGGCTATGGCTACTGTTGTTTTTTTGTTTGTTTTGTTTTAAGTTAAAACAAAGCTGTTGGTATCTTCTCCAGATTACATTGATTTAGGGTCTGTTTGTATTTTTTGTGAATAATTTATAGAGTTCCTGTTTTAATTGAGTCTTCCCAGTTTTAATATGAAACATACAAATGAAAACAGATAGTGAATATTTTTCAGTGTTTTCATGCAATTTCTAACTTAAGCTCTGCATTTTTGTTTCCTCTTCTACTGTGCAAAAACCTAGCTGTGGGACATTTATTTTATCTGTACTCATTTACATTTCTGATTGTGAAGGGTGTCTGACCTGCAGATGTGATACACCCCGAAGTGGCTCTGCGTATCCCGACACAAAGCCTGGTGTAGTTCCCCAGATCCTAACAGAAACGGCTGCCTGGTACTACATTTCCATAGACTATTTGTGAACCAAATGCTGGGGAGGGAGGGAGGGAGGGAGAGCCGAGGCTAAGTTCACATTAAAAGGCAAACCCCTGACCTAAAGGACTTGTTAAGCTTTGAGCAGAGTATAGGTCTAAACAAGGATGGTTAAAAAGTAGCTCTTCCCTTTTGTTTTATTAAAGACATAATGAGAAGGAAACACCGAAGTATTTCAAAGCAAATTCCAAAATCTCATTAGTACTGCTACTGTTAAAATTATCTTGAAGTGGAAAATAAATAGCTTTCCCTTTTTAGAAGGAAGGGAAAGGGGCATCTAAAACTCATATCAGTGCTGACTAAACAAGCGTTTTCATTATCCCTTTAATTGGGTTCTGAGTTGGAATATAAAACGTCAAAGCTATTAGAAAAACATCGTGGAAAAATCTGCTTTAATTTAACCCAATGAAATTATATACAAAGAAGCCCAATGTGATTTCATCATTTTCCTGAGATCGTCAATATTGATTGGGGGGGGGTGAGTGAGGAATGGAGGGAGAAAGGGAGGAGGGAAGGAGCCAGGCAGTGAGAAAACGCGTCTCACCTTTCTGTTCTCGGATAGAAATGCAATTCCCAGGAGCAGAATTACCTTGGTGGTCTGGCAAATTATTTTATCATTTTGAAACATATTTAAATGGAAATGTATATACTTAGGGTTCTGTTTGTGTGCAGGATCAGCCTAGAGGTTCCCTGGCTACTCCTTGAGCCTGAAGCCAGGGCAACAGCAACTGGAAGTTACCTTCAGCACTGGAGTCCAACCGAGAGATCTCTCCCAGCCCTCACCTTCCCTGTTGTTTAGGGTCCTGTCACTGAGCCTACTCCACCAAAGGAGGTTGCTGTCTGGAGAACTTCTGTTTGACAAGGTGTGTTTTTCAAACTGGTTCAAATTATCCTGTGCCCAACCAACGTAGATACAGAGGAGAAGGAAACATGGGAAGAAAACAGAGCAACAGAAAACTGCATTATTTTATGTGTCTCTTTTGTGACACTTAAAACATGAACAGCTAGGAAACTAGAGATTTGGCCAAGACTGGGCTATGCTGCTTTCTTACCCAAGCTTTGATGTCACAGAGGATGCTATTTGAAAGAATAATTGGTAACATATTGACCAGAGCTCAATAAAGTTGATCTATGAATAACATCACCGTACATTCATGGGTGGTGATGGGGTATGTCTGTAGCTGGAAAAGAGAGGAGACCCGCAGAAAAGGTCACTTCGAAAAGAACTGTTTTCCAAATGAATTAAACCGTTCTCTAGTCCCAAAAAGGCACATATAGTATTCAGGGCTATCCTTGTTTTCTTACCAAGTTTTCTCTAACAGCTGGAAATGGTCGGAGGGGACTGTCTTAAGAAGACCCCCTGCTCTTCTTTTGACAGCTGATCAAAAGAAAATAGGTCACGCTTCTCAAACTTATGTCCACCCTGTCCTTAATTACTGTCTCTTTAAACAAAGGCAACATCTGCGCAACCTCGAGCTAGCTTGAATCTTCGGAGGCAAACGGAGCGAGCGCAACCTGCTTTGGAAGAATCTGTTACTTTTAAGGCTTTCAATGCCCGGTGTTGGTCTCTGACTGTCTTCTATCACCCCTCAACCCCCACACAGTTCGCGGAAATTACTACCTCCTCCACTCCGACCTCCTGACCTGGGTTTGTCAAACAACGGGAATTCTAGGAAGACGAAGGTGTACTTTTTAAAGCTACAGCTTTCAAGAGCGGTCTCCCTCATAGTCAACGCCCCAGGCTCCGATCTTTTTTAGAAAAGAGAGTTGAAAATGCAAATGCCAGCGGAGTCTTACCTACCCACAGCAGTAAGCTAGGGTGGACAGTCCCCTCTAGAATCTGAGATAAGCGGTACGAGTGTGTGTGTGTGTGTGTGTGTGTGTGTGTGTGTGTGTGTGTGTGTGTCTGTGTGTGTTGATAAAGGAAAGATTCGCTGGTGCTGTCCCCACTATTTTGCATACTCCTTGCCCCCAGCAGAAGTTTGGGAGGCTGTGAATATTAATAAGTCTTCACCCCCAACCCCACGAGTTCTAACTCTCCCCCCTTTTTCCCTGTTCTTTGAAGGAACAAGCATTTGGAATTTTAGTTTTGTTTTGCAATCTAGTAGGGCCCTTCTGAAGCCTCATAACTGGGAGATTTATGGGCTGGCCAGTAATTAAATGATGTTATTGTGTTAACTTTGCATGCATTAGGGTTGCTTGCGACGCCGCCAGTGTGAACCTTCTGCCGCCCGCCGCAGCTCTTGGGCAGCCTAGGCGTTCGAGCTGCCGTCCCCCCATGGATTATGCACATCCCAGTCTCGGAAATTTACCGTGCATTAGAACACATTAGCGCCTGCATTTTAAAAGCTAGACTGCTAGCTCCTGGCGAGGGACTCTCGGGAAGTGGCTAGCTAGGAGACGCGCGTTTGTTTTTACCGTGCCACAAGCTTACAAGAGTGAAGAAAAGATTTGAGGTGAGACTAAAGAAACCGAAGCAACCAACCCAAATCGCAGCTGCCTGTGAGAGGCATCTCTCTCATAATCCCCCTGCGCCCCCCTCCACCGCGCACTCTTGCTTCTTTCTCTCTCTCCTGCACCCCCCTCCTCCCTTCTTCTCCTTGACGCTTGGTTCCAGAAGCAAAAAATGGGAGGGGGGGGAGCGAACCGAGCTGTCAGCCAAACCTGAAACGCTCGGCCCCGCCCCTTCACATCAATTGGCAGCTGTTCAGAGAAGGTCTGCCTTCCGAGGCAGCTACTGCTGCGGATTGGTTTCTCTTGCTGCCCATCGAGCACGGTCCCGCCCCGGGCCCGGGAGGATAGGTTGGCTGCTCCCGCAAGCGGCAGAGCCCTTCTGGACAGCTCCCGCTCACCCAAACAGAAGACGTCGGCGCCAGAGTGGGCTCGGACATGGCGAGGCAGCGCGCCCGCACAAGCGGCGGGGCCCGGTGATCCCTCCCTCCTTCCCTACCCCCTCCCCTCTCCCGCACGCACGCCCTGTCCGCCCCCACCCCACCCCCACCCCGGGCGCGCCCGCCCGCAGCCCGGGGCACACACCCGCACGCACGCCCCAGCACACACTCCCGCACTTCCACGCCCGCCCCCGAGCCCCGTGGCCGAACCACGCCACGCGTGCCTAGCCAGCCCGCCGGCAGCCCCCGCCGCTCCCACCGCCCCCGGGCCCCGATGGACTGAATGAAGGCTGCCTACACCGCCTATCGATGCCTCACCAAAGACCTAGAAGGCTGCGCCATGAACCCGGAGCTGACAATGGAAAGTCTGGGCACTTTGCACGGGCCGGTCGGCGGCGGCAGCGGCGGGGGCGGCGGCGGGGGCGGAGGGGGCGGGGGCGGGGGCCCGGGCCATGAGCAGGAGCTGCTGGCCAGCCCCAGCCCCCACCACGCGGGCCGCGGCGCTGCTGGCTCGCTGCGTGGCCCGCCGCCGCCGCCAACCGCGCATCAGGAGCTGGGCACCGCGGCGGCGGCAGCAGCTGCGGCGTCGCGCTCGGCCATGGTCACCAGTATGGCCTCAATCCTGGACGGCAGCGACTACCGGCCCGAGCTCTCCATCCCGCTGCACCACGCCATGAGTATGTCCTGCGACTCGTCCCCGCCAGGCATGGGCATGAGCAACACCTACACTACGCTGACTCCGCTCCAGCCGCTGCCACCTATCTCCACGGTGTCAGACAAGTTCCACCACCCGCACCCTCACCACCACCCTCACCACCACCATCACCACCACCATCACCATCAGCGTCTGTCGGGCAACGTCAGTGGCAGCTTCACCCTCATGCGCGACGAGCGCGGGCTTCCGTCCATGAACAACCTTTATAGCCCTTACAAGGAGATGCCTAGTATGAGCCAGAGCCTGTCTCCACTGGCTGCCACCCCGCTGGGCAACGGTCTGGGTGGCCTTCACAACGCTCAGCAGAGCCTGCCCAACTATGGTCCGCCGGGCCACGACAAAATGCTCAGCCCCAATTTCGAGGCGCACCACACTGCCATGCTGACCCGCGGTGAGCAACACCTGTCCCGAGGCCTGGGCACCCCGCCTGCGGCCATGATGTCTCACCTCAATGGCTTGCACCACCCGGGCCACACTCAGTCCCATGGGCCAGTGCTGGCTCCTAGCCGAGAGCGGCCCCCTTCGTCCTCCTCGGGTTCGCAGGTGGCTACGTCGGGGCAACTGGAGGAGATCAACACCAAAGAGGTGGCCCAGCGTATCACCGCCGAGCTGAAGCGCTACAGCATCCCACAGGCGATCTTCGCACAGAGGGTTCTATGCCGGTCTCAGGGGACTCTCTCCGACCTGCTCCGGAATCCCAAACCCTGGAGTAAACTCAAATCTGGCAGGGAGACCTTCCGCAGGATGTGGAAGTGGCTGCAGGAGCCCGAGTTCCAGCGCATGTCTGCCTTACGGCTGGCAGGTAAGTTCGGAGACAGTCGGTAGCCAGGCTGTTGGGGAAACTGCACCGGCGTGCTTGTGGGGCTGGTGTGTGCAGGGGCTCTGGTCTTTAGCTATGCCCCCTTCTCTCCTATGTTTGCCCCCTTTCTTCTCTTTCTTTTTCTTCCATTTTCACTTTCTCTTCTCCCCCTTATTCCTCTTCTCCCTTTTTTGATTCTCATTGCTTCTGAGTTTTCCTTGTCCCCCTCCTCCCTTTCATTTGGCCTCTTATCAGCGTGCCAACCTTTCCCCTCCTCCTACAGTGGGAGGCGGGATCGGGAGCTTTTGCTGTCCTCTAGAAGCCCTGTTTTCTGGACTTAACGAAAATCGAGAACAACCCTTAGCCAAAACGGGTGTGCTTGAACTTCCTTAGGACAACACTTTCCGTTTTCCAGTGTACCTAGTCTCCTTATGTTGTAGATGCTTTTCACTGGTTGGGGGTTTTCGCTCCTTGGAAAAGAAAGAGTTCTTCACTCCCCTCCTACCGACCAAAGCAGGCAAACTTTGGTCCTTGGCAGGAGATACACCCTTGCAGCACTGGGAACTAATGGCCAGGATACAACGCCGCTTCCAGAACCTAGCTGAGGCTTTGGTGTTCTTAGCCCAAGGACTTAGGACAAACCGAAAGAGCGGAGTCTGGCCGGCACTGGTGTCACTGACCACAGAAAAAGAGGGTGCAAAGACGAAGGTTAGGGCTGCCACATACGTCACTTTGCGAAGTGACACCAGAGTAAAGAGCTTCCTGCCTCACTCGCCTGCCGTCCTTGCTGGGCTACACACACGCCTTTGCTGGGATTTGCTGAGGTTTGACAGGACTCCAAGAGAGGTTAAGCTCTCAGAAAGAGGTGCTGAGAAATTAAGATGCGAGTTAGTTAATGCTTCTTGGCCGCAGCAGGCTACAAGCTCCGCCTTTGCATTAAGCAGGCGCTGATTGTGCGCGTAGCGGCGTGGCGGGGAGGGCTAGCAGCCCGCGGCAGGGGACCGGTCAACGCGCGGGTTACATTGTTCTGGAGCGGGCACGGCTCTCTGTGCCTCCTCTAGCGGCCAAGAGGCGAGGTACAGCCCTCTATTGTTCTAGGAACACTGAAACCCCGGTGTGGGCGGTGGGTACCAGAGGGAAAGACGCAGCCTAGGCTGCGGCTGACTCAATTGAGAGCTTTTGTGCACGCAGACCCCTCTCCCGGAGTGCCATGACTGCTCTCCTCCCAGGCCTGAACGGCGGACCCAGACTGGCAAAGGTGTCCAGACCTCCCACTGGTGAGGACATACAATACCCAGCTGCAAGCCTGACTGGGCGACTTCTCAGGAAAGGCTTGGTGCTCTAGAACAATTAGTCCTCGCCTTAATTTGCATAAAACCTGCATTGAGGCTCCCGCAGTTCTGAATCAGGGGCTCACTGCTCACTAGCGTTCTGTATCTGCTAGCTCAGGTGTCCACTCCGGTCCCCCAGGACTTTCTTCCACCGCCGAACCGGGCTTGTCGGGTGCATCCTACAGCTGCCTAGCAGGACTAGGTCACTGCTCGGGAGGAGGAGGCATTTCCGCCCACAGCCCCCTCCTTTGGCCACTGTTGGATTTTGTTAAATGTTCAGTCTATCAATCTAAAAGGATAAAGAAAACAAAAACAAAAACAAAAAACAAAAACAAAACCCCGAGATTTGTTCCAGAGAACTCCGTTCAAAATCTGTGGGCTGCGGACAAAGTTTATTCTTCATCCTTCCCTACATTTCCTTATGATTTGCTCCTGGCCCCTAGCAGAGATAAAGCTGTGAGAACTGGAAGCTTGGTGACAGCTCCCATTGTAGTAACTCTTTTGTTTTAGACTCTCCTCTCCCTAAAACAGGAAGAGCTCTATGGGGTCTCCAGCCTCGGCTGGCTCCCAGCGCTTGGGGGCTACAAGGAACTTGGCAGCTGCTCTTTGGGGTACAGTAAAAGGCTGGATGACAGCTGTTCTACTCTGGCCCATCTCTGAGCGCTGCCGCCCCCTCACGCCGGTCGGGCAAAGGACAAGGCTGTTTGAAAACGCTAGCAGCGTTCTGCCTGTGTAGGTCTTGAAAGTTAAGTCTCGCCTTGCTGTGAGCTTTTACTACAGCGCATGAGGATGAGTGTGGTACCTGGGTCTCCCAGCCCCAAACTCCCGGAGAGTTGCCCGGTGGCTCCTGGAGGCGAGCTTTCCAGACCACAGACGGTGTGGAGTGATTTTTCGGCGGGGACGCTGAAGGGGGAAGTGCACTGAGGACCGGGCTTTGCTCAAACATTTAAATGTGAGTCTGTTTTATTACCCTAGGTGAAAAGGGACAAGAGCCTTCGCCTTTTTATCTCGCCGTTTTATCAGCAACTACAAGTGTGTCGAGTGGTTATTATTACATAGGAGGCTTTTCAGTACGAGGTCAGTAGATCAGTCTCTTCAGACACAGCGGCAAAAGCTGGGACAAGTAAATAGGTATTATGTGCTCAGTAGAGTAGGGAACAGAAGCACACCGAGGAGAAAAAGGAGGCCTTTTGATTGTTATTGATCGATGGGAAACCCCGCTGGGAAGCAGCCGGGGCCCGTGCCTCTGGGACCCTGGGGTTAAGCAAGCCAGCGACTCCCCCGGATGGCCGTCCCAGCCCAGCACCTACACGACCTGGGACCACATCAGGCCACCCATTCATATTCTTGATTCTTGTTCATTCATATAGTCTCTCAGTCTCTCTCAGTCTCTCTCTCAGTCTCTCTCTCTCTCTCTCTCTCTCTCTCTCTCTCTCTCTCTCTCTCTCTCTCTCTCTCTCTCTCTCTCTCTCTCTCTCTCTCTCTCTCTCTCTCTCTCTCTCTCTCGTTATTTGATACCCATCTGGACCAGGGTCGGAGGGACTCTGAGTTAAAACTTTTGATTTGATTATGCCACCATCTTCAAGCACTATCGGGTCAGCAGGAAGACTGGGTCTTCCATCCCGACCATGCACGCTCCGGTCTCTTTTCTACCCGCACAGTCAAGCCCAGGTTGCTCTACCGAGGACGTAGGAGGATGCTGGGAAAGTTCGGAGGGTCCCAACACAGAAGTCAGAGAAAGGACTTCTGCTATGAGCCCTGGGTGGTGACAACAGCAAGCGCTTGGAACTGGCCAAATAGGCTGGGAGTGGCCCATGATGGGATCCCGCAGGGCGGTTCTTAAATATCCTGGCCCGGGGACAAACTCACGCAGGTCTGAGCACACTTCCTAGGGCTTTGATCCTCAGGGGCCTCTGCACCACGCACAAAAGCGAATCTCGAGAGCTCAGGGAAGAACCTGAGTTCGTGGCCTGGTGAAGGAAAACCGACACTTTACAAATGAGTGTGCTTTTCTTACAACGCAGGAAAACAATAGCCTGGCTACTATTACCCGAAGGTTTCTGCCTCCTGGGAATCCGGCCTCCGAGGTTGGCCCTCCGGGAGCCGGGCTCTAGAGCCAACTGCGGGAAGACAGTGCGGCCTAATCGAGGAAGCAGCCCCCAGTCAGGGTGGAGCCCACTCAGTTCAGGCGGTCTAAGACCCTTAACCAACCCGATGTCGTCGGACCCACTTGATGCCGGCCATAGTGGTATGGACTGAGCATTGATTGACCTATGGCTTCTGCCCAGGCATTCACTCGTACGTGCACCTATCCAGTCACGCGCGCGGTACAGGTATTTAGACGACTCGGGAGAGCGGTGTTTGCTATGCTGAAGGGCTGCAAGAAGGCCTTCACTTTAGGGTTCCTTCTGTCCCCCACCCAGCCTCCCCCACCATCTTGTTTCTCCAGCCCGGGGCCAGGCCCGGCACTCCCGGGGACTTAGTTCCGCGACCCGAGCCGAGAGGCCAAACCCTACACAAGTCCGTGAAGAACAGACTGATCTGTTAACCGCTGGCTGATCGGATTAATAACTGAAAAGCTCACTACCAGTGCTTCAAGTCCCTTGTCCCCTAAGAACGCCCTCCTAACGCAGATAGAGATCAGTAGGAGCTTGCGGAGGAGGCGGGACGCGAGGCAGCTGAGTGAATCCGAGCTGGAGAAGTATTCCAGGCCGCCGGCAGCGGTGGATTAGAGGAGCCGCGCATTTATTTTTATTCCAGGCTTTCCACGGTGTGGTTATGTCACTTTCTCAAACAAATGTGTATATGGAGGGAGATCGATGCTGATAATGTTTAGAAGATTAAAAGAGCATTAATGCTGGCAACAATAACGTAAACGTGTGGACCCAGATTTCATTGATCTGGAACCTGATCCGGCGCGTTTCCAGTAAGTCCGACGGCGGCGTGCTCTTCCCAGAAGAGTGCTCGCCAGTGCCCAGGATCCCTGGCGCTCCGGCCACGCCACTTCACCAGCTGAGGCCGGGTTCTCAGGTCTGACCGCAACTCCTCCCCTGAGCAGCTGCCTGAGCCAGCTCCGTTCTCTAGGTTGTTCTTGGCCTTGCTCAGGACTTCTGGGTCCCCTTCCCCACCCCTGGTATGCACGTTCCAGACGCTGTGCACTTAATTGGGACAGGGCGGGCGGCAAAAAGGGGTACTTTGGTTTTCCCTGCCCTTGACCAACGCACTTGGTCCAACGCGACCCTGTCTAGTTCGTGTTCTGTCTGCCAGTCTGTCTCCCTGTCTGCCTGTCTGTCTGTCCGTCTCTGTCTCTCTCTGATCAAAACCGCCATGGAAAACCCCTTAATTTTTAAATTCGTTCCCGATTAAATTTAAAAATGACGTGTCTAAAGTTTCCTGCGAACATCGAGCTTTAATGATTCGTGTATGCCACCCCGGCACCCGCACCCGGTCCTTACAGGTTTCAACACTAAAAGTCCTACTTGCAGACTTTGCACCGATGCCTTAGTGGGACTGTTAAACTCAGCCTCAGTAGCAAACACCTAGACTTCATCCCTCAGAATGGCCCTCTCTGCAGTGGACCAACTGGGTCAATCCATGGAAGGATCTTGTCCTCTGTCTTGTGGTGGCTGGGATCTTGGGCAAGGCAACTAGGGGAACACCCACCCCACACTT